TAACCATTTACATTGAATAAGCTGAGAATTAGATGGAGACCCGTGGTTGAACACCATGAAAAATAGAGACTGAAGTCTAAGAGAGAGCATGCTAGAATTAACCTTGAAGTTATTTCCAAATTGCTAACTTTCAGGGTGTTGAGCTGGAGCTCCGGAAACTTGAAGGGTTGGTAGAGGCCATTCATGGGAATCTTCTGTATCTGAAGCGCAGGTAATCTATCTATGTGCCAAAACTCTTCAACTTCTATACAAAATATTTTGTGGATGAATGAGTTAAGTAATGATTTGGGAATGTGTGTGTATATATATATATGAACTACAGGGAAGCAGATATGAGGATAGTAAGTGAAAAGACAAATGGAAGAGTGGCGTGGTTTAGCATAATGTCCTTAGGTGTATGTATTTTGGCTTCCGCACTTCAACTCTGGTACTTGAAGCGCTTCTTCCAGAAAAAGAAGCTCATCTAAAATAGTGTTCTTCTCTACCTTTGTGACTTTTTTTTTCTTACACCAAAAAGGCATGATACTAGCTTGTAAACTATGAACCTCTCTAATAAAATTTATCACAGGAATGTTTTATCATGGATTTTTTCTCTCGTTAGGATTGCACCACTAATGCACACACTCTAACTCAATTTAGATGAACACAAAAAACAGGAGAGAGAAAATGCGAGGCAAATATTGGTTAAAAATTTATATGGATGACTTCAGGTATCTACAATGAAAGAGAATATGACTAACTAAGGGTATATTGTTGGGAAAAGGGATAGTGAAATAGACAGGAATAGATAAAATAGTGATAAGCTGCAGTGCTTACTCCGTGCTTAAAGGTTACACAATTCCGGTATTGATAGGCTTATACACTGTATCAGAAATAGTAAATTATGGAAATCTAGATAAATTGAATCCTCTTAATCATATCTCAACTACTCTAAATCATATCGAATACTTTCAATCATATTTCAAGAGATATATGTTATATATGGTTAAACTTACTATATATACATTCAATAAATATAATCCTCTACTATGTATATATAAGTTATCTACTCTATTTATTTTACTATAAATGGTCGTTTACTTAGTACGACTCTTTTCCATATATAACAATTAAATAAGTTATATAAATAAGTAGGCATAACCCAATATTTTTGAAAATATAATTATGGTACGGTGACCAATAAACTGCATTTGAGCATTAGACATGTTAGACTTACTTCAGAAGTTCATATACATTCATAGTGCAAATCATTATCTTATTTCTAAAGATGTGAATATTCTAGGTATTTAACTAGTTTTGTGGTTCACATTACCAACTCAGGAGTGTTGCTTGTCAAATGCATTTCATTTGCAATCATATGCCATTTCTCATGTGGTTACTTGTTTCGTTGGATTATATATTACCATATGATGTTCGATTTTTATAAACAAACTCGATGCTCTATATCGTACCGTTCACCCCAAAAAGTAGCATTTTTAGTCCATAATATGGCTTAAATAATGCTAATATACTTGGTAAGCATTTGTAATGATTTAACCCATTTACTTTTAAATATGTAAAAAGTAACAAATTAGCCTTTGTAGTTTAATGTCTATGTTATGAACACGATGCACCATAGGAGATCTAAGGGTTTCTTGGATTGTGAGTCGGTGGACCTTGATCCTTTGTTTCTGAGTGGAACCTAGCAACTTTTACGTCGTAGTGAACTTAGAGCTTGTGTCGTTCTTTTTCTTGATTCTTGTCTTTAAATTTTATCATAAGTTCTTAAGCCCTAATCCAAACTCACGAGTCAAGAACATTTCATAAAATAAAATGTACACGTCATAAATATCGTAACATGTTTCATGAGTCTCGTTTTAAGGGAGTTGTTAAGGATAGTTTAGTCATAAGTTCTAAACGTGATCCAAACTTCTTGAAATCTCAAACAAACCTTGTGTTCTTATATATATAGGTTTTACTTAAAATCCAATGTGATTTGAAGTTTGTTTGGACCATGAAATATCTCAAGGGAACTTTAGGGGCATATTGGTCATTTTACCCTCCATTCTTGATTTAGCCCTTGGACGTGCTTCAATGACTATGGAGCTATGCAGAGTCCTTCGAAATCATAAAATAAGGCTTCTTTTAAAATTTGATGTTATTTTGAGGTCATTTGGATCATAAACTAGTGGTATGTTATTATAGAGGCTTGGATTATTTACACCGTTACTTGATTTATTTTTTAACCTTTTATAATGACCACCAAATTTCATATATAACCTCGATATGTTATATTAGGTTTTTTTATTAAAAAAAATTTATGTAGCAAAGTTATAGTGGGTTATTTTAAAGTCTCTTGAATCCCGAGTAAAATGCCCGATTTAGTTTCATAACTCACGATTTTTAGCTTAATTCTTTCATAATTTTTTAATTCTGACTTAATACGAGTAAAACTTGAGAAAAAAATCGAGGGAAGATCTGATTTTGGGCTAGCATGATAGTGTAACGACCCAGGCCCATTGCTAGCAGATATTATTCTCTTTGGGTTTTTATTTTTGTGCTTCCTCGCAAGGCTTTAAAATATTATTCTCTTGGGGGAGGTTTTCACACCCTTATAAAGGGTGTTTTGTTCTCCTCCCAAACCAATGTGGGACATCACAATCCACTCCCCTTCGGGGCTCAGCGTCCTTACTGGCACATCGCCTCGTGTCTACCCCCTTCGGGAACAGCGAGAAGGCTGGCACATCGTCCGGTGTCTGGTTCTGATACCATTTGTAACGACCCAGACCCACCGCTAGCAGATATTATTCTCTTTGGGCTTTCCCTTTCGGGCTTCCCCTAACGCGTCTGCTAGGGGAAGGTTTCCACAAGGGTGTTTTGTTCTCCTCCCCAACCAATGTGGGACATCACAGATAGCTTTGAAAATGAGCCTCCACCACCTAGTATAGTGAGTTTCTAGCCTCGACTTCTCTATGGATCTTCTCGATAGTGAATCAAGGAAGAGTATGAGAATGATTTCTTGTCTTTTTCATACATGATAGCTCGAGTTATAGTTTGTCAAAGTAGGTTAGAAATCACGATTCTCGCTTAAGCAAACTCACACCCACTTCTTATAGGGTAGCTTGATCTAGACCTTTTTAGCTCTTGGTTTCTTAGAAAAATCTCTTCCTTTTCCTTCCCTCAAGCTACAAGATTAATATTAGATGGATAAATTTGTGTGGATATCCCTAATTTTTGAGTCAATATCCTCCGCTTGAAAGTTGTTAATGCTGAGAAGTCCTTTTCTTAGATAGCTCTCTAGAGGCCTTGATAGATCTCGATTCCTTCATAAAAAGTGTTCATCTTAGTCCTTTAATGCTAACAGAATGATTAATTTCAATCGAAAGGGACGGTAAGAAAGAAATTTAAGTTTACTCCCAAACTTACCAAAAAAACGTTTTTTCTCTCCAAAATTTCCACAATGTAGGTGTGCATGAAATTTTACCGTTTTTTTCCTTCCTATTTAACGGTGGCTTGAATTGGGTAAATAAGGCTACGGACACTTTCCATTCTTGGTTTCTTCATCAAACTTGTCGCCAACTGATTCTAGAATGCATAGGAATTGGTTTAATGGAAAATGGACTATTCTTATGAAGATTCGGTCGACCTCATCGTTAAAGTCCAGTCGTTGGATTTAAGAAATAATTACTCTTTTAACTTTTAAAAAAATGTTTTAAAAATACTTTTAATTTAAAAAGATTTATTTATATTAAAAAAAAACAGTTAAATTAAAAAAAAAAAAAAAGTTAAAAAATACATTCACGGTTAATGCTACATTTTAAAAATATTGAATTTATTAAGGTAACATTAAAACATTTATGAATAATGTGCGAGTTCCATAGACAGCTTTCGTCCATATACTAATCGCAAGATTTTTTTTAATAAAAAAATACACGGTGTAAATCCTACTTTTATAATTTCATTGATATTTTTTTTTAAAATATAACATTAACAGTAAATACATTTTTTAACTTAAAAAAAAATAAATTAAAAGCTTATTATTGAAACTTTTTATCTTTTTATACCCTCCATTAAATTTTTTCTAATTCACCTGTTAATAATAATAATAATAATAATAATAATAAAAAGTAAATTTACTATTTTCAACAATATCAAAATTTTAAAAAATTTAAATTTAAGTCTGTTAATGAAAAAATTAATTAAATCTCACCAATTTTAACAAATATTTGATAAAATATAACGTTGTTTATTTATTTAATTTTTTTTGTTTGATCAATTTTATACTATTTTATCATTTATTGAAAGTATGTGATATTATTTTGTAATTAATTTCAAACTAAAATGAATCATTATTCATTTAATTTAAAATCAAAATTGGGATTGATGAGTGTATAATTTTGATTTTGTTTTCGGATAAGAAAAAACAAATCAAATCAAGTGTTGTTTCAAGATTTAAAAATAAATTTAAAAAAATTGTATAAGCGATAAATGAGATTGGAGCAGAATAATTTTAGGGCGAAAAAGGAATTTAGAGCAGACAACGAAAGGGGTTGGAGACTACAAGTTTGATTCCTTCAGCTTTGGCATCCCAATCGGAGCGACGACGAACACGGAAGCCAGGGAGAGGGAGGAGCGATACAATCCGCATCATTCCTTCTCCTTAATCCCCATCGCAATCATATTCTTCTCAATCTGGATTCCAACTTCATCAACTGCGATTTTTCGTAATATACATGTATGTATGCGTGTGTTTGTGTGTGCGCTTTCATGTCCGATTCTCTTTCTGCTTCTAATTAGGGTTCCGATTACTCTATGCTGCTACTTACTGTCTCTATATTAGGGTTTTCGCTGCTTTACATGCTGCCTCTTTGTGGATTTTTGTGTCCGTCTTCTTCCTGAATCAAGCGTCCGGTTTGACCTTTTTAGTCGTTGAAACTCCTCAAATCCAATGTCTCTATGTTTATTTTATGGATTATGGATTATGGATTATGTTAATGTTAATTAATTTAATTTGTTAACAGAGTGAAGATTTGTACTTGTTGATACAAGATGCCACGGGATTTATCACGATCTCGATCTCCTTCGTATAGGCGGAGGCTTTCACCATCTCCCTTAGGGCATAGGTATACCAGGAGAAGTCGAAGAGACAGGAGCCGTTCACCGTATTCATCGTACAGCAGGTGATCCCGTTTGTGTTTTTAGTTTTATTTACTTTCGATTAATCGATTGAATTGTCTCCAACGATTGTTAAAAGATTAACGACACCATATCTCTTCCCACGCGGTTTGTATTTCACCTCCATCGGAGTTTCTGCATGAATCTTTCCCCTTTTGCTTTTAATTTCCCCCCTGTTTTTTCTTTCTAATATGAAAGCTGTTCAGTGTTGCTCTAGATTTACTTTTCTCTTAAATTTGTTCTGTGATGAGGTAATAAGACTTTGATTATACTAATTGAATGTTCGTTTATGATTTATTCTTATTATTATAACAAACAGTAGGGATGCTTTTGTTGCTGTGTTTATTGGGTTTTCGTGTTTGCTTTGTTGTTCAATCATTATATATAAATAGTCCTCGTGAGGTTTGCTTGATGTTCTCTTTCAGTGAGTCCTGTCGTCCGGATCTTCACGACCTCGCTTTTATTGTTTATGTGCTGATGAATGATGATTGGTAGTCTTGTTTTGTACTTGTGCTTTACTATTTTGAATTTCACGTGAAGTTTCTGATTTCCGTGGCATAATCGTCAAGTACCTCCTGATGATATTTAATCATTTGTTGAGAATGGTGAGTGGGGGAGAAAATTTAAGAAGTCTTTGGGGGGAAACTCTAAAATGTGGTGAGAAGCAAACAGAATAGTCATGATCTCGGTAAGAGAATTGAGATAAGTCAGTTCTTCCTATTACATGGGAAGTGATCAGATATGCTGATCGGTGTCCTGTCATTGCTCGACTGTGACTTTGCTTCTTCATGTGATGTGATAAAAGATGGAGCCCACAAAGGTTTATTCTTAACAATGTATGAGGTAACTGTACGGTGCGAAGTGGTTGGCTAGCTTGATACTTACCTCTGTATAATGAAGTCTTTATCTCTTGCTCAATAATTCCTATGCATCATACAGAAGAAAAAGCCGCTCCATTTCCCCAAGACGTTATAGAAATCATTCACGAACACCTAGACGCAATAGAAGTCGTTCTCCAACTTCAAGGAGTTGCAAGAAGTCAAGGCGACGAAGTTCCTCATCATCTGTGCATCATAGATCTTCTAGTTCTAGCCTTGGATCCATTGAGCAAAAAAGTACCAGTGAAAAATTGAAAAAGGAAGAGGAAGAAAGGAAAAGGTATATTAACTAAACTCGCTCACTGATTTTTATTTTCTTTCTGCCTCTCAATTGTCCTTGGGTTCATTTGCAGAATCTTTTGATATACAACAATGGGAAATCTCATCCGTTGTTGAATTTTTTAGTTCGTTTTAGTTCTTTGTAGGCATTGACCCTTTGAATCCTTCAACTGAGATATTACTAGAATTGCAGTCAGGCTCTCTAGGTTTTTTACCTTGAAAGATTATGGCATAACTAAAGCTCACATTAGGACAACTAAGTGAATTTTTGTCCCAAGTATCAGTGGTACCCTTAATTTCACATTATAAAATTCTATTACTACTTTTCTATTAGAATTGGAAACTATTGAAAATGGCTACAGATTTGTATAATAATGTTACAACTCTGTGGGACGATCGCCCATTTAGTTTTTCTCATTGCAAAATTCTCATTATTGCTATTGTTGATTAGGGGCATATATGTGTGCTATGGGTGATGAAGAACCATATCTGTAAACTTATTATACATGGATGTTGCATTTTCATGGTCGTTTATAACGAAAGCATTTATTGCATAATTGGTTTGGAACTATTCATTTGTTTTACGAGGAACCTTTCTTTTAGTTCGAGTTAAAAGTATAAAATGACTCAAGTAAAACCTAGTTGTGGGATGCAGGCAGTGTTTTTCTCACCAGAACCCGTTTATTTTTCTTTCAATTGTTTATACCAAATTGAACAGAGAAATCTACACTTTTTTGGAGTCTTGAGGAGTCCAATAGTTTGTTTGATGCTTCAAAATCTGCTCTTTTCATTTCTGCAATGTACTCCTGCTTCGTGGCTCTTATCCCATCTCTGACTTTATCTCGCCCGTCTAGTTCTTTCTTATAGTTTGCTTTGTACTGGATTAACTGGCTACTTTATATTCTTGTAAATTCTCTTCAGTGCAGACTTCCATGTTTCAGTAGTTCTCTCTACGACTGTTGCCTGCTTGCTAACGTGCAGTCCCTAACTAATTTAAATTTGAGCAAGTGATTTTAAGATGGGAAGAACTAATGTGATATGTGGCTTATTCAATTGCTAGAGCATAACAGTCTGCTGTTATCATTCGATGTGAACGCGTAATATGAAATATTTGTACAGTCCGACACTTGTTGACTAGTTTAAGATTGATAGGCCTCTAGGAAAGGAACCTTGTTTTACATGAAATCCTGACTGTTAGTTTAAAGAGTCACAGTTTAGACTTTTTCCATGGCGCAACAATGGAAGACGCTTTTCACCTTTTCGATGTTTTGAAGCTATATGAATAGAAGTTTCTTTATATACATAAGAAAAATAAAATAGTAGTATACACCTCATTCAAAGAATGTTATAGTGTGAGGATTTGAGTTTTTCCAGTGATCAGTTTTAAAACTGCGACAGGTTACTTGACATTCTTCTCCACAGGATTTTCTGAAGGAAGATACTGCTATAGACTTGTTATATTTGATCATCAATTTGGTGCATCGTTAATATGCTGTTCACCAATTTCGTAACTCTTTTTTATGGATCAGGATTGAATTAGAGGTATGCCCTAAAAGGATAAGCATGTTTTAACGCTCTTACCATCTTGGAGGTTAGTTTGTTAATTTAATCTATGCTTACAACATAAACCGGAAGAGGAAAAAAACAATGGACCAAGGCATGATAAGTCACTTGTCATTTAATTGTTGATGAATTTTGGAGGATCCTTCAGGTGGTAGTGCATTTTACCCATCCGTGGTTAGCTGTTTTCTTAAATATTTATTTTTCTCTCAGGCGACAACAGGAGACAGAGGCCAAATTACTTGAAGAAGAAACAGAAAAGAGAGTGGAAGAAGCGATTCGCAAGGAAGTCGAAGAGGGCCTGAACTCCGGGGATGTTAAACAGGAAATAAACAGGAAGTTGGAGGAGGGACGGAGAAGGCTTGCCGAAGAAGTGACAGCTCAACTCGAGAAGGAAAAGGAAGCTGCCCTTGTTGAGGCCAGACGGAAAGAGGTACTACTAATGTTGATTGATCTATTGCTTAATTTTTAAGACTGGTTTGGGTTGGGTTGGGTTCGGTTTGGTTTGGACAGATGTTTGAGAAATGTGCTATTTGTGGGGTTTTTCTTTTTTTCGTTTCGTTTACAGGAACAAGCTCGAAAAGAAAAAGAAGACCGAGAAAGGATGGTCGAGGAGAGCCGGAGGAGAGTAGAGGAGGCTCAGAGAAGGGAGGCTTTAGAGAGACAAAAGAGAGAGGAGGAAAGATACAGGGAATTGGAAGAGCTACAAAGGCAAAAAGAAGAGGCTATTAAGAGGAAAAAACAGGATGAAGAGGAACAGCGTCTTAAACAGATGAAAGTATTGGGTAAAAACAAATCACGGCCGAAGCTATCATTTGCCATTGGCTCCAAATAAAAACATGTCAAGAAGAAACATAAGTAAATGCTTCAATTTGGGATGACATATTTTTTGCTTAATGCCAGTCCATTTTTCCTATGAAACTCAGTCTCCGTCTCTACATCGTAAATGCTTCGCCAATTTCCCACGCCCTCACCCCATAAAAAACCCCTAAATCCAACAAGGAATGATAATAGAGTATGCTTGCAATGTCGTTGAATTATGAGGAACGCATTGCATGTATATAGCCCTTTTGAGAACAGACCTTTTTTCTCTGCAATCTTTCAACTTCATGTGGCAGAAGTATGATGGGGATGGCGTTTTGGATTTTATACCTCTAATTTTAACTCAACTCATCATGGTGCTTCACTTAATTCTTCTCTACAAGTATTTTTTAAGAAAAGTTGAGATTGGCTACTTGCATTTTAGTCAGTGTTCGAGGGTTTGGTCCTCGAGATTCTGGTTCTCGATTTTCTTTAAATTTTCTTTGGTAGCTTCCTAACGTGTCTTAAGGCTTCATCTTCATCCTTCAATTACTAAAAATTACAATTTTTTACCCCATCTCTCACTGGTTTTGCTCTTGTACAACTCTATCTAGGCCTCAATTTGACTCAATTTCTTCACCAAACTTTTAGATAGAGTTACAAGTGACAAATTTCATACCTTTTCGTGGTCTTTTGTTTGAATTATAGCCTTCCACCAGAGTAAAACTCATAAAATTATAGCTTTCCACAGTTTGCCAGAGTAAAACTCATAAAATTATAGCCTTCCACACTTTGCCAGCCAAAGTAAAACTCATAAAAGTGTTTTTATTGGTTAGGGTGTTTTAGTATACATGAATTTTTCCTATTTAATTTAAGGTCATTACTATACTTCTAACCTTACCTTTAATGCCAAGTTACTTTAATGGACACCTTATAGTTTCGACATTAATTCATATACCTCCTTAAATACCCTACACTATAATTTATTAATGCAATTACAATTCAACCTGTAGTAATGTGACATCTTGAAATTTTCTAATTAATTCAAGATCGCAATTATATACCTATCATGAACATTGAATGTTAAAATACTTAATTTAAACTTTCATAAAACGTCACCTTCATCTTAAAATACAACCATGAACTTACTTGTTTTGAGAACATTTTTGAAAATGATACAAAAGACTAAATAAAATAAATAAACGTTTAAATTAAAAACATCCTATTCTAGCCTAAGTCTAAGACTACCCTATGCATGTGTCATGGTCTCGAGTTGCGATGTCGTTGTCAGTTGTATAGGAATGCCTTGTCTTAACTTAAAATAGAGGTAACACGTGACTTTCTCTTTTCCGTACAAGAATGCCTTGTCTTAACCTGAAATAGAGGTAACACATGGCTTTCTCTTTTCCTAGACACTATCCTATCCTGACGGATAGCTTGGATGTGTACCATATACTCTACAAACAGTCCATACGTGTGAGTACGAGCTCACTAGACCGTTCGCACACCGCCTAGACCCCTTTTCTTGTTGGGCGAGCCTGCTCTGGTAGCTCCTTATGCCGGACACCCATTAGAATTAGTAATCGTCACAACAACATTATGAAAAACATAATGATACTTCACCGGCCTAGTGGTGTACGCGTCTGTACCCTCTTGATAGAACAGGAGTATCCCCCAATGCATGAGCACACATAATGCATGAGATCCCAATACTTTCCCAATACTTCACCCGCTAGCGTTACATATCATATCATTTTTCATATCATTTCACATATCGTTTATCATTCATATCATCTCATTTCTCATTTTTCGGTCCTCATATCATATATAATTCTAACGGGCTTATATTTCATGCTATTTATCGTAATTTCATGTCATTCATATCATGCTGTATACATATAATTTAGGAGACATAACATAACATTCCATGCTTTTAACATAACATCATATACATAGCATATCACATCACAATATATTATATCATAAACATGTCAGTTTATCACATATCTCGTACCATGACATATTTCATATCATTTTCATATCATATCACAACATATATATATCCGTCATTCACATGTCATATCATAATCATATTATATCGTAAATACTTCGTGGTTATATTGTTCCCTAACTTATCATAGCCTTAGTGTTCGTATGCATATCACAGTCTTATTATTACATGAATGTATCCTAATTTTATCAATCTATCATAATTGTTTCTCTAATTTTCTCCGATTTACATTGATACATGTGTTATACTTCATGTAGAGTCTTTAACCATTTAAAACTTTTTAATACTTCCCAAATCTTGCTTTTGAGCGTTGGTGTTCCTTTTTTTTCTTTTACTGTTGTTCTTAATCTTCCTTTTATTTGTTTGTTACATTTTTTTTTGACCATTTAATCAATTCTATTTTTTTTTTCTCCTCGTGATCCTGACCTATCTTCTAAAATGTAAATTGCTAAATAAAATTAAATAATTTGTTAAAAGAAAAGATCCTATAAAACTAAACAAAACTAAATAATTTGTTAGAAGAAAGAGAGATCTGAGATATAACTTACGGTCAATCTCCCAATATATTTGCACCATGTAAAATGGTTGAGAGGCATTTTTATTTTTCTTTTTTGTTTTTTCCTTTTTTTTTCTTTGGTGTAAGAACTCTCGTTTGAGAGGATTGTTGAGATCTCAAAAAGAGATGAAATCTTCTTGCTTTCCTTCCTTAATTAACTGATTTTGTTTTACTTATTTATTTATTATTATCATTTTAATTTTAAATTTTTCAGTTGTTGCAACGAGTATAATGCAAACGAAATTCAACCTATACTAATATATATGAATGAAAATACAACTCAACCTATACTAACCTAAACTATTAAATTGGAAAGCAAATCTATCCTATGCATGTGCCACGGTCACGGGATTTGCAATGCTTCTGTCAGTCTCACATGGGTGCCAATACTCAGTAAGTAACCCCCTATTGGAGTTATGCAACAAGAACATGCAAATGCAATGTCGGGATCTATTATATCAGTCTATTTTCCTACGACACTATCTTAAAGGGCAGCTTGGATGTGTACCTATATTCTACACACATCCCATACGTGCGAGTATGGGATCATTAGTCAGTTTGCACACTGCTAGGACCCTTTTCTTGTCGGGCAAGCCTACTCTAGTAGCTCTTTATGCCGAACACCCATTAGAACTAGTAACCGTCACAACAACATTATGTAAAACATAACGATACTTCACCTGCCTAGTGGTGTACGCGTCCGTACCCTCGTGATGGAATAGGGGTTCCCCCCATGCATGAACACACATAATGCATGAGATCTCAATATTTTTCCGTTTTCAACATTATTAAATATAACCCTACTATCCATTTCATTTATATTTCTCATCATTTTATCATGCATAATTCTAACCGGTTATATTTCATGCTATAGATTATGATTTCATGACATACATATCATGTTGTTTACATACAATTTAAGGAACATAACATCACAATTTATGCTCTCATTATAACATATTATGAATGGCGATTCATATAGAAAACATCTCAACAATCTCATAAACATTCTAAGCACAACACATCACGTCACATTATGTCACACATCAAGTCATTTCAGAAACAGCATACATTCACATTGTGTGCAAATCCACGGGCATGTGCCAACATACAACATACAATTGCATAACCTACGACAGTAGAGCCACTTACTTGGTAGGTCTTAACCGACGTACTCTCCAAAATATATAACGTAAGCTCCTAGTTTCTTGTACGCGTCCTACGCTATCGTCAAGGTTGGTTCCTATTGGGTCGTTCAACACTTTTGTTAGTATTTCACAAACATAATTTTATATTCCAACTTGAAATTTTGAGATACGACCTTATATTGACCTATTTTACCTTAAACGAAATTAAAATCGAGTCTGGGAGGGTTGAAAATAGGTTTCTCGAGCTGAATACGCCGCCGAAGTTGAGAAGTTGCGCAAGCTGCCGCCGAGGCGATCAAGCCACCAGAGTCGAGGGGTAGTTTGCGCTAGATGCTGACACGTGGCACAACTAGAAGCGGCTGCGTGTGCAAATCGAAGTCGGGTCGAGGGACGAGTCGTCAGGTGGTTCGTGTCTTAGTCACGATTTCTGGGCTGGGTTCTATTATTGGGCTGCGGGTATTTTGTCTATGCCGACAATTTGGGGTGCCGAAAATGGACTGGGTCGCAGATGTGTTGGAGTCGGGTTTGAGGCTATGGGTTTGTGGGTTGGTTTCGGTTTGCGGTTTCGGGTCGTGACTGATGGGTTAGGCCGAGGCACGGATTGGGTTTTCTCGGTTGGGCAGAGGCGTCTGGTCCGCGGGTATTGGACTCAACTGGGTTGGTTCCTGGTCAGGTCGCGGGTCCGAATCGCGTTTGTTTGGGTCTTATAGGCCGAAAGCTTCCAGTTCTGGGGAGATCCGAAAACCCGAGGTTCTCTCTTCCTCCTCTATGACGTGAATGAAGCATCCAAGTCTTTCCCACGTGTGTGTACAGGTCTCTGGGATGGTTTTTGTGGCATAAATCAGAGGTTTTGACGTCGGTTTCGCATGGTTTTACTTTGTTGGAGCGTCGTGGTTTCACTGCCTCTCTCGTTTTCTCACCTTTTTCTTTTCTTATAAGTGGTTATGAGGTGGCTGAAGTCCGGGGTTTGGTGTTGTGGTGATCTAAAAGTTTGGCGGGGTCGTGGTCGTGTGAGAACGAAAATTTCAACGTTCGCCAGAGTTTTCGAGTCTCGTCGGTGACCACGGGCCCTCCGACTTTTTTCTTCTTCTTCTCTGATTCATTACATTTAGATAGTATTAAACTCCGATTCCTTCGTGAAATCTCTTCATTATTTTTCCTTCAAGCTAAAGAATGCATTTGGAAAGGATGAACTCTCAAACCAAATTCTCAGCATTAAACCCATTTTCTTATATTTTTCGTTTCTGTACTTTTCCAAATGTCTTAAATTCTTATAATTTCTTACTAGATTATTAAAAATATTTGTCTTATACCTCCCATGGTCGAAAAGGAGTTGTTCTTTCCCGTATTCTGTATTGATGATAATCTTAATCGAAGTCCCCAACTATGTCCCCAACTATAAATAAGGA